TTCTTCTTCTTCTTCTTCTTCTTCTTCTTCTTCTTCTTCTTCTTCTTCTTCTTCTTCTTCTTCTTCTCTCGTCCTTCACTGTCCTTCTTCTTCTTCTTCTTCTTCTTCTTCTTCTTCTTCTTCTTCTTCTTCTTCTTCTTCGTCTTCGTCTTCTTCTTCTTCTTCTTCTTCTTCTTCTTCTTCTTCGCGTCTTCTCCTTCACTTCTCCTTCACTTCTTCGTCTCTTTCACTTCTTCTTCTTCGTCTTCTTCTTCGTCTTCTTCTTCGTCTTCTTCGTCTTCTTCGTCGTCTTCGTCTTCTCTTCTTCTTCTTCACTTCTCCTCCTTCACTTCTTCTTCTTCTTCTTCTTCTTCTTCTTCTTCTTCTTCTTCTTCTTCTTCTTCTTTTTCTTCTCCTTCACTTCTTCTCCTTCACTTCCTCTTCTTCTTCTTCTTCTTCTTCTTCGTCGTCGTCGTCGTCATCCAACTTGTCGTTTGGACATTTCCTGGACTTCCCTGAGTTTCCTCCCTCCAATTTTTCTTGGCTTGGCTTTTTTCTTGGCTTTTTCTCCTTTCTGGATGGCTGTCAGAAGAAGACGCCAGATAGTAACCATGCGTCAACAGGAAAAACTACCTTTGAAACTACCCTTGTCTGATCTATTCTTGCGGCGCAACGTCTTCCCCAGAACACAACGCACACTCTCTCATCCTTTTTTTTTTTTTTTTTTTTTGATGACACTGCCTTGGCCGGCTAGGGGGAGTCGTATGAGCACCCCTCGCTAGTAGGCCTGGCATGGTATCAGACTGGAAAGATAGTTTGTATGGGGTCATGGGTGGGGTGCGTTTACTGCCTTGTGTTCAGAGGAAGATGGTAGTTGCGTGCTTTCATCCCTGCCTGTTTGTCCCTTTACAATCTCCAGGCAGCCAGTTTCCCAAATTGGGAAACTGTTAATGACTGAGTGCGTCGGGACTGTTTAAACCATGAGCGGGTGAGACCCTTGTGCAGCGCCCTGGTGGTTTTGCCATCATCGTGGATGTGTTGGGGAGACGGGCAGGAAGGCAAACATGCCGGTAACTCCCGAGCGCAGCCTCCGGGTCAACTGGCTGTTTTGGGGAGCCACTCGTCACCTTGTGGTTTTTTTTTTTTTTTTTTTTTGAAAAAACAATTTATTCTTGCAAGTTTGAACCTGTTTCCTTCACTTTCTCTGTTTCTCTTTCTTTCTGTGTTCTCTTCTCCTCTTTCTCTCTCTTTTTTTTTCCCTTCTTTTTTTTTTTTTTTTTTTTTGAGAAGGGCGGTGGCCTTGACGTAGCATCATTGGAGTTTCGAATTGCAGTTCAGGCTATGTATACAACCCAGCTTTCAGGCCAGGTAGGGTGCCCAAACTGCAATTTAAAACTGTATCTTGCCCCGTAGTGCAGTTATAACTCGTTTTTGTGACTCTACTGAAGTTACCGCAAAAAAAAAAAGAAAAAAAGAAAAAAAAGAAAAAAAAAAGAAAAAAAAAGAAACTGAGCTATGCCAGTTGGTACTCTTTTCTCTTCTCTTCTTCTGTTTCATTCCTTTTCTGTTATCGTTTGCCTTCTGTGGATTTTCTTACCATTTCTGTCCTTCCTCATTTATTCTTCCTCCTTATTTGCTGTATTTCCTTCCCCCTCCTTATTTGCTGTATTCCTTCCCCCCTCCTCTTTTTTTCCTGCCTTCCCCCCTCCTCCCTCCCCCCTTTTCCCTTTTTCTTGTGAAGTGGTGGCTGAGGCCCTAGCATTATTTGTATCCAAAACAGGATTTGGATTTTGAGCCCTCAATCTGTTCATCATCTGAGTTAATCAACGGGTACATGTTTGTACTGCTGTCTTCCTCTGAATAGAATGTATGGTCATTCTCGCTGTATCTGGACTGCAAGTTGCCCCGATGCAGTTATAGCGACTGTACATTCTGTTCGGCGGACGATGGTATGTTTCCTTCATTGATTGGTATCTTCTTGTAGTACTATGTAGTATGTACGATGATACTAAAGTTATTAACAATTCTGTTTGAAGTTTTTATTGATTCTAGTTTTGATAACAAGTCATTCTTGATGAAAGTATTTTTTGATTGAAATGCGAAGATTGGAGCACTCACAGGGGCCCAATGGAGCTCAGGCCGCAAGACCAGAACAACACGAGAGGCCCGAAGAGGGCCTGTTTTTCGGTGGCTGGCAGACCATGCACCCGCAGCAGTTGGTAGCAGCGTCGCACGTCGGCCATAGCCGGGTCGTTCGTGCATTGTTGCCGGGCCGGTGGGGCTGGAGGGTGTTCCTTGGGCATGAAGGTAGGGGCCCAATGGAGCTCAGGCCGCAAGACCAGAACAACACGAGAGGCCCGAAGAGGGCCTGTTTTTCGGTGGCTGGCAGACCGTGCACCCGCAGCAGTTGGCAGCAGCGTCGCACGTCGGCCATAGCCGGGTTGTTCGTGCATTGTTGCCGGGCCGGTGGGGCTGTAGGGTGTTCCTTGGGCATGAAGGTAGCCTGTGAGGGGACAGTCGACGAGTGGGTTTGAAAGAGAGAGAGAGGAAGATGTACCCGATGTGTCGTGGAGGTTGGCATGGGCGACATCTTCATGTGCATCGGTTCTGCTGCTGAAGTTCTTCTGGTTGCATCGTCATACCGTGTAGGGTAGATAGGTGTCCTGAGTCTGTGGTCCGGCGCCACGCGCCAGTGTGAAGAGCGAGCGACATTGGATACGTTGTTGATGGTGGCGAAGTCAGGGGCTGACATTGACAATTGCAATTGAGTTCATTGCTTTGCTCTTATTTGGTGTATTTATTCTTTGTTGCATTCCGCTTTTCGTGCGACACACACGACCATTTGGTTTTCGATGCGATGATGCAATTTGGATTTCTGTCATTCGATCTCCCTCATTTCCCTTGCAAAAATAACTTTTGATGAAAATAATTTTCGATGAAATCACATTCTGACTACATACATGCTGCATGTTAAGTGAAACTTGAAAAGGAAAAAAAGAATTTGCATGTTTGCTGGTCAGCTTCGTACTGAAAATGAGCTGACGTCATAAGCAATCCATTAATAATTAGATAGATACCGAGACCAGTCTGACTAGCATCAGTTCGTTTGTTTCGTTTAATTACCCCTCAGGTCATTCAGTGCGCGACATGCATGTCGGACAAGGACGTACGAATATCTTTTACCTGCAGAACTTCTTGGAATTGAATCAAATTTGAAAAGTGACCCTGTATTTATCCAGGAGCAGCTGCAGAAGTTTCGAATGATCCTTGGCAAATTTGAGGTAGGAGGGCTATTATCTTTTATCGATTTATTAATTTATTAAAAATATATATTTTTTAATTATATTATAATCTAGGCTACAAGCCGGGCCGCCCGGGTCACCCTATTTTTCGGGACGGCCCGGCCGTGCAAGGACCAGGGAAGGTCCTAGCAAAAAAAAAAAAAAAAAAAAAAAAACAATGTTATGCAGAAAAATAAACTGAACAACTTTTGNACTCGCTCTCTTCTTCGCTTCACATACATGCAAACAGATGGCGATTCACATTAGCACCCAGACACCCACTCAAATCTCAAAGATATGGAAACCACGAACACAGTTCAGGTGCTGTCTCTTATACACATCTAGATGTGTATAAGAGACAGGCCTATGCAAGGACCAAGGAAGGTCCCAGCAAAAAACAAAACAAAACAAAAAAAAAAAAAAAAAAAAAAAAAAAAACAATGTTATGCAGAAAAATAAACTGAACAACTTTTGCCTCAGGGTCACAGCGAAATTCTTTACCAAATTTAAAATAAAAATAAAGTTAAATTTTTATATTATTATTTTTTTTTTTGGCCCGGCCGGGCAAGTGAGCCCGGGGCCACTCTGGTAGCCTAGATTATAATAATATATTAATTTTTTTTTTTTTTTTTTTTACCCCCTTGTCACTTTGCGAAGCTTGAAGTCTTTGGATATGCAGCGTTGGGTTCGCGTTCGGTGACCGAACCCAAAATGTTTGCGACCGAAAGCGAACGAGCTCCAAAACCCTCCAAATGCGAACGAGCACCAAAACCCTCCGAACGCAAACATAAAAATATTAAAGAAAAGAAAAAAGAAATTTTTCAGTAAAAATCTGAAGAAAATATATGTTTTGTAAAATCATAATACAAAGTTGCAAACAACTTTTGCTTCGGAGGTATGCTCAAATTCGTAACCAAACTCGAGTTAAAAATCAAAAACCTCAATATCTATACATATATATGCAGGGTCACCAGCCCGTATGTAGGGAGGTCCCCGGGCCGACCTCCGTACGTACGGGCGTTCGGGGTTCCGTTCGGGGTCCGAACTCGACGGCGTTCGGCCCCCGCCAAAAATTATTTCGGGACCCAAAGATTTTTTTTTTCTGTTTTTTCTCTTTTGTGAGTTCTCTATGATGTGAGGTACATCACTATAAATTTTGAAGTCGTTTTGCTAAGCCAAAAAAAAAAAAAAATCGCCAAAGATGGCGGTGTCAAAACCTGCTCGCCCACTCACTATTTTGTTTTTTTTCACGTTTTACTTTTTTTCTCACTTTATTGCGGGGCCTAAAAAACGTTATTAGTTTTTGAAACTTTTTTAACGAGGTTTGTATTATGTGAAGTACACATCTGGAAATTTTCAGGGCGTTTGGCTTTGCCAAAAAAAAAAAAAAAAAATCGCCGAAGACGGCGGTGTCGAAAACGTGCTCCCTCACTCACTAATTCTAATTCTCTTTACATTTTTTCTTATTTGTTTTATTATTTTTTTTTCTGTATTTTATTTTTATTTCAAATTTGGTAAGGAATTTGGATGTAATGCTCTGGCAAATGTTGTTTATTTTATTTTTCTTCATAACATATCGTTTTTTCAGGTTTTTTTTTTTTTTTTTTTTTTTTTTGGTACGCTTTCGGCCCGAACGGCCGAACGCATCCCCAAGGGGTCCCGTACGTTCGGGCGTTCGGCCCGTCCCGAACGCCGGTTACCTTATATAACATATATGTATATATATTATTTCTTAATCATAAAAAAAAATGTTCGACCGAACACGATTGGGAGGCGTTCTGCTGAACACACCCGAACATGTTCGGTGTTCTACACAGGTCTTTGGTAAGCTCAGTTATTTTTCTCCTTCAGATTCCGTTCCGTTCCGTTTTGTTTTGTTTTGTTTTGTTTTGTTTTGTTTTGTTTTGTTTTGTTTTGTTTTGGTTTGTTTTGTTTTGGTTTGGTTTGGTTTGGTTTGGGTTTGGTTTGGTTTTGGTTTGGTTTGGTTTGGTTTTGGTTTGTTTCCAGAGTTGCCCTTCACATTGTATCAATTCAATTGGAGTTTGTTTTTTGATGTGCACGGGAAAAATGTGGTTTTTGATAGAAGTTAAAAAGAACTCAAACGAATTAAAGAAAAAGAGTCTTTAAACCACCACTACCTCCAAGGTGTTATCGCCAACCCTGAGTTTCACTGTGTGGGTTCCGTTTTGGTTTTTTACTGGTACTCTTCTGAATAAAGAAAAAAAACAAATACACGTCCAGACTTCCAAAAAGGAACAAGCACGGCGTTACAGCCACGCGCTCACACCATGCCTCCCCTGGCAGGGCACCAAAAACAAAACAAAAAAGAAATAAAACGAAAACACAAACAGCGAAAACCTGAAACTGGCCACAATAGTAGTTACATACTTTCTTGTGAGTTTTGGTGTGAGCACAACTTTGTGCATTGCCTTCCCCGACACGGTCGTTTGTTTCTATCCTTTTGTTTTTCGAACGGGCCCACAAAGCCCAACTACCGAGCCTTGTCGGACCCCCTAAAAGTTCTGAAAAAATGCCAAAACTGCCAGTTTTCCCATTTTTCCCAAGAGTGAGCGAGGTAGCGGTGGTGGTTTAAGAAGACACATGCAATGGTCCCACTCAATTTCGAATGGGACTCTGGGATGGGGACTTGGGACAACAACTAACACATCAAATCCTTTCAGTCATAAAAGACAAACCACAAAACAAGTTTCATTTTGACTTCTTCAGGACATCAGTTAATTTTACTTTATTTTTTTACTTTTTAAAAAAAGGGCGATGGCCTTGAGGTATTATCATCGGACTAACCAGCCCAGGTAAATTCAATCTTGTGTCTAATCTGACACCAGGTGGCCTTTTCAGCCCAGGGTGGCCTTGTCAGTTAAAATTGGAACGATACAGAGAGAGAAGATTAGCATGGCCCCTGCAGACGGAAAAAAAAAAACGAGGGAAAAAAAGAAGACTTCAGAGGGAAATGCCGAAGTAAGGAAAGAAAACAGAGAACAACTCCGGAAAAGGTAAAAGAACGGTTTCAGTGTGCTTACTGCTCTTCATGTTGTCTGCAATTTCCTTTCGTTTGTTTTGCAAAGTGCCCTCCTGAGGGAAAGTGTTGTGTCTCAGGAGACATAAGATACGTCTTGAGATACGTCTTGAGATACATCTTGAGATACATCTTGAGATACATCCTGAGACATGTAGTTTCCTTTTTTGGTTGGTGTATTCATAATTGTTTTGTATCGTACTAGGCTGTGACATAGCCTTACTGATGCTCTCATGATCTGGACCACTGGTGTGGATTTCCTATCTGATGATCTGGATCTCGCGGCGATTTCTTTTCGTAGCAGAAAGGAGGTACCTGCCAGCATAAACCCTAAATCAGCATGGCGAACTATTCTGTCGATTGCTTTTTTGACATGAGCCCCAGCTAGCCCCTAACCGAACCTTAACGAAAACCTCAGTAAACACTCACGCAAACCCTAACTAAGCCCTCACCAAGCCGAAACCCAACCCCCATTAAAACCCTCACTGAACTCTCACTAGACCCTCGCTAAATCCTCACGTAACCGTCACTGAAACCTAAGTAAATAAGAAGAACCTTACTAGACCCCAAAATGACTGCAAAATGACCCCAAAATGACCCCTAACTAAACCCCAATTGAACATTAACAAAATCCTTGCTGAACCCTGGCGGATAGCTGACTCAACATTTCGCAGACCCTAACGAAATACTAGCAAACCCGAAGTAAACCCTTACCAGACCTTAACCAGCGTGAACTAAACACTAACTCAGCGAGCAGTTTGCAGCTTAGCTCGACTCCTAAACAACACCAGATGTGAGAATGGCCTTCAGCATTGGTCAAGAGTGTGGATTACATTCATTTCCTTTCATTCTGTTCTAGCAATGCTGTATTGCCCTGCGCAGACAATGATCTGCTTTCCTGCGCCGGTTGCAGGGCTACCATCCATTTCACAATTATACAAGACGTAAACTGTACCGGCCGCCATCGCCGAGGCTAGAGCTTGATCAAGCGAATCAAGAAGGAGATGGTGACGGTTTGGTTCAGCGACACGATGACGTGGACGGAGAAGGATCCGGAAGCATGGAAGGCACCATCCTTGTTGGGGGGTACAGGCCTGAAAGAGAGGATGATGATGATTCGGATGTAGAGGAAGATGTATATGTGCCTGATGCAAATGGAAACGACCTCGAAATATTAGGGAGGGAGGGGCAGGAGGGGGGTGGGACTAACAATGGTTCGACGATGTCGGGCTCGGTTGGCGTGAAACCATTGGGCTCGGTTGGCGTGAAACCATTGGACTCGATTGGTGCGGCAACTTCAGGCTTGATCGCTTATTGGCTGAGCAAAAAGAACCCAAACGATGCAATCGGCAGGTCTCATTACAGGAAGGTCTTGTCCTGTACTTGTGGTGAGATTGAGAGGGAAATGTGCGCTGGTAGAGAAATCAGCTTTGTACGGGTCTCTCTGACAGGAGAATCTTTCATGTTCAATCAGGTGTGCTGCTGATACCACTTCCCTGGTCTGCCCTCCCCCTCCTTCCCGTCCTCTCACTCCCTGCCTGCACCCCCCTAAATGGTGATTGCACTCAGTGATGAAGATAATTTTTGACTTCAAATGTCCTGAAGTATATTATCGGAAGTTGTTGGCAGTGAAACCCCTTTGTGTATGTATATATGTGAATCACTCCTCTTCAACAAGGATGTTAGACAATCTATTCCTCCACGCCAGAAGGGGGAGGAGCGTGCATGTTCTCAATGTATTTCCTTTGACTTGCCGGTGGAATAGGAACCGAACTGATGCTCCCCAGAATGGACAAGGAGCCGGAACCATAAGGTTCTGTTTTTTGTTTAAAAAAAAAAAAAAGTTAGACAATCTATTTCTGTCTCTTTTTTTTTGTTTTTCGACACTGCACAGGGTGTCGTAACTGTAAAACCTTTAGCCAAACACTCCAGTGCAATCAGACTCGCTCTCTTCTTCGCTTCACATACATGCAAACAGCTGGCAACTCACAGTGGCGCATAGCGCCCACTCAAAGCTCATAGATATGAAAAATGAGAACACAGTTCAGATGCAAACTCGCTTCAACAGGCTATGGCGGATCAGCGCCTGTACATCCCCACTCTCGATACTGAGTCCAACACCACTGTTCGCACACACTCATCTCTGGATCACCCTGAATACCCCGTGCACATTCACTGTAGCGCACACTCGTACTCACGCACTAACTCCTAACACTGGCTATATGGAGGCTATGGCTGCCGGCTACTACTGCCTATGAACACCCTGCCTCTCTTCAGCCCAGTTTGACTTCGGGCAACCTGCAGACCACCTCGCACAAGACGCTGGGGCAGCGCTTCCGGATGGCTTACGCAGCGAATGAATGAATGGCTGGACGCTGCCTCTTGATTTATACTTCTGTAAGTCGCTGGTCTGCCCTTTTCCACCGGGCCCATGGTGCACACAGTCCCTCATGATACTTGCTGACTGTACAAAGTGAGACTGGGACTGGGTACCGCTGACTAAGCGAAGTTGGACTCACCACTTGCCCACTTGCCTCTGGTCTGCTGTGTCAAACGTGAGAAGAAACTTGAAAGGCCACTTCTGGACCTTCTGGAAGTTTACAGACTTGGCCTTTCAAGACTGTAGCAGCTACGACCTTGACCCTTCAGGACTGTAGCGGCTATGATCTTGACCTTTCAGAACTACAACAACTATGACCCCTATGCAGGTATGACCCCTACTTCGACAGATCTAAGGTTCAAGACCCGACAACTACTCAGACCTACGAGGCTATGACAGACAACTTTTGACTGCTAACACACAGGTCACGGGTTCAAGACACACAGGGTTGACTGGATACTGTACACAGGGATGGTAAGGTACGGTAAGGGAAGGTCTGGGGATCGAGCCCTGGGATCTACATCTCTGACTGCAAAAGGTGAAAACCGTTTCACCAGGCATGGCATGAGGAAGTCTGCTTTATATGTCTCTGCCGAAACAAACCCCGAAACCCCAAACCCCAACCCCAAACCTTGAATAGCTGTCAAAACTCGGATCTGGTATGTGATGAGCAGCTGGAGAAGGGGGAGAGAGAGAGAGAGAGAGAGAGAGAGAGAGAGAGAGAGAGAGAGAGAGAGAGAGAGAGAGAGACTTATAACCCCAAACAAAGGGCCAGGGCATAAAGCGAAGCCAAAGCCATGTTGTTGTGTGTTTCGGAAGATAGTTGCCGCAGCAGAAAGGTAGTTTTTTCTTTTCTTTTCTTTTTTTTTTTGGTTCAATTTTTTCATATAGCTGGGAATTGGGACCAGCGTCCCTGACATCATTATGCCACGGCTGCTTGAGATGAGGAGGTTATGGGTGTTTGATCTGGAGGTCAGGTTGGCACAGGGGCTAGATCTGGGACTGCCATGCAGGATGAAATATACATGGGCAAAGACCCCCCCTACAATACTACACTGGTAGTTTTTTTTTCGAGTCTTAAAATAGGAGGGGTAGGGTTTTGACTCTCGAGTGTACTATTCTGTGAAAGGTATTTGCCCATGTCTATTTCATCCTCCAAGGCAGCCCCAGATCTAGCCCCTGTGGCAACCTGACCCCCAGATCCAACCCCATAGCCTCCAAACCTGCACTGAATCTAGCCCCAGTGCCAGATCTAGCCCAGTCCCAGATCTTGCCCAGTCCCAGATCCAGCCCCAGTCCCAGATGTAGTCCCAATCCCAACCGTTACCTCCCAGATGTAGACCAAGATTGCTATGCGGTTCAGGAGTCCAGGGCTATTGATGCTGCAAGAAAGGGTCAGTTTTTCTGGCAAATGGTCAGTTTTTTTGGCAAATGGTCAGTTTTGTCTGTTTGCATCTAGCTCATGGGCTAGATGCAGTCCATGTCTGTTTCCGAATTGCCGGTTCAGTAAATTACTAAAATTAGAAGTAAAAAAAAAAGGAGGTCGACATATTTTGATTCTTGAAGATTGAACCCCTTTTCACGGACCGGGGACCGCATAATTTGTATCACTGATTCACTGTGTTAAATAACTTAAATTGTTAATCAATTGAAAATTAATAATTAAATTGAATTAATTTATTTGCAACCATGCCTGACAGAATGTGTCTTTGTGCTGTGTATCGTTGAGCATTATGTTTTGAATTGTGTTATCAGAATTATTATTAATTATTTTATTTTATTTTGTTATTATTATTTTGAATTGTTTGGTTCGCCACTTAGATTCGGAAGATGGTTGGGACAGCAGTGGCAGTTTTACGCGGAAGGCTCGCGTTGGATCTGATGGAAGCGTCACTCTGCAAGCACGCTCGAGTCGTCTTGCCGATAGCCCCTGCGGAGGGGCTTCTGGTTGCCGACTGCGAGTTCCAACCCTTTCGTCGAAATGTCAGGTCGCCGAATTTTCTGAAGAATGGTGGTGGGCAAGAGGTGCGAAGTGACGATTCCATCTTGAGCTCCGATCCGCAACTACGAGAGGAAAAACCTGGGCAGATGGAAGATCGACTGGTGATGTCGGACGCTATCCGGGAGGAGCGAGGTGGGTTTTGGAGAGGCGTTTTGTTACCGTCCATGTTGCCTCTCCTGGTTTACGGAGAAGGGCGTCAGGTCCCTTGGAAAGAATGGGAACAATGGCTTAGGGAGGAGTACATCGTGCCATTTGACGAGGCAGAGGCGATACTGAAAGCCTATCGAGAGTGGAGAGAGGTAGGTCCTCCCCCTCGCAGACAAAAGCCAGCATCCCTTCTGGCAGGCAGTGAGCCGAGTGGCACCTTGCCCGAGCAGGAGGACCAGCAGCGGCAGTGGATGGAGGGCGAACAACCCAAGCTTTCCGCCAGATAAGACTGAACTTTCATCTCTTCAGCTGGTTTCGGGCTAGGCTACCAGCCGGGCCGCCCGGGTCACCCGATTTTCCCGGACGGCCCGGCCGTGCAAGGCCCAGGGAAGGTCCTAGCAAAAAAAAAAAAAAACGAAACTTTAAGTTTTCGGAATGCTCTGCAATCTTTCACCGTATGAATTTCCCTATGTTATGCAAAAAAATAAACTGAACAACTTTTGCCTCAGGGGACACATCGAAATTCTTTACCATATTTAAAATAAAAAATAAAGTTAAAAAATAAATTTTCTGTTTTTTTTTTTTATATATATTTTTGGCCCGGCCGGGCAAGTGACCCTGGGCCACTCTGGTAGCCTAGGTTTCGGGTGAAAAAAAAGAAAAGAGGACTGAAATTTTATCTCTTCAGCTGTTTTCGGGTTAAAAGAAAAAAAAAAAAGACAGAAAAAAACTTCAAAAAAGGGAAACAAAAGACAGAAATTTTCTCTCTTCGCACGAGTCTTCAGCTATAACAAGTGCTCCTTTCCAAGGTGTGTGAGGAAACAAAAAAAAAAAAGAATAGAAAGAATAGTCATTAGTCACCCATTGAATGGCAGTCAGTATTGTCTTTCCATCATCACATTGTAGTTAGAAGATCGCGAGGAATTTTGATTTTTTATTATTATTATTTTTTTTTAATCAGGGGTTGGCAAACCTGCCATGCAGAAGAAACTATTAGAGACGCCATTGTATGGACAATATGGAATCTTCGGAATGCTGCTGTGAGAAGGGGAGAACATCTTACACCCCCAATCGTGAGAGCAGAAATCAAGTACGCTATAAAGCAAGCTGTCTTGGCAGACTGGGAGTACCAAGTACAAAAGAAAGGTTGCACAGCCAAAGCCTTGAAATGGTTTGGTTGCAGATGGGGAGCTTTTCCGGATCTTTTTATATTGGATTCGCCTGCAGGACAATTTCCAAGGTTGCTTTTTCCTGTCTTCTTTTTGTGAATTTTCGAGTGTTTTCTTGAGTTAATCTGCCTAATTGTATGATACAATAGGATAGGTATAGATTCGAGTTGGGATTTCAGCTATAGACCTTGTTTGTAGGATTGCTAGAGTTAATGGCAGTAGGACCCGGTTTTGAATCGTTCTTTTCTATAATTTGTTAGACCTTTCTTGCTTACGTGCTTCATAGGCTGCGGTTGGAGATGGGCCCGGCCGGGAGTGCCTCGCCCAGCTCCACGTCACCGTGGCAAATATGTAAGGGACGCCGGACCCGTTTTCCGGATATTGAAACATTGGTCATTTCTTAAAAAAAAAAAAAAAAAAAAAAAAAAAACCTGCCAATCTACGGCAGTGGATTTGAGCGAGATCTTTGGCTCACTGGTCAACAGATCAAGTCTCCCATCAAGAGTAAAAGGGCCTTTACCCGATATAGGCTTCAGGCCTTGTAAAAATAGAGCAGCACGGGCCTTGTAAAAGTAAAGCATTGTGAAAAGGTATCTCGTCAGGGCTCAGAAACGTGACAACAGGTCAAAAGTCAAGTTCTCTATCAACAGGCACATCTAAATCTAAGGCAAAAGGGCATTGTCAAAAGACTTACCTGTTCACCAGGAGATGTGTATGTCATGTCTGCTCGAGTAAGGGTGTGTMTGTACGTGTAGGCAGTGTACCTGTTCGTGCAATGGAAAGAGCCTGTTCAAGTAGTAAATGTGTCTGTTCGTTTAGAGTTGTGCCTGTYCGAAAGTGAAGTCAGTAGGCACAGTCCCAGTTCTGGTCTAAGTCAAGGGGTCAGTCCAGATCCAGATTTTCAAGTCCAAACCCAGGCCGAAGTGCCTCAGCARCAGTTGAATCTTATTGGGACTGTACCGGGACACATGCAATGCAGGGTCTGGGACAAAGGGAGAGGCTGAATTGAGCCAATGCAGACCCAGCGAGGAGTGGCCAGCACTATAAAAGGAGCTGCCTGCCTCATTCCTCGCCAGATTCTCCACTGGCTGCAATGCGTGGAAGTGCTGGTGCACTTGTGCGCTGAGTCAGAAGGAGTAGCGCTGGAGGAGAAGATGCGCTGGAGGGAGGAAGAAGCCTGTACGCTGGAAGTGAATGCAGCCATAGCTGCTCAGCGAGTTAGTAAGTAGGTTAGAAGGGTTAGTACTTAGCTATGAGTAGTATTCAGAGTAGATCCTTGTGAGAACAGTGTGTGTATGCATCCTAGGAGAAGGAGACTGAGACGAAGAATGTGCATTCGAGGTTTGGCTATGGGAGACACTTACCTGAGTTGGTTGTGATCTGCTGAGTTGGCGCTGATGAGTTATGACTATCTTGATGACTGGGAGACAATCTGCAGGGAAAGCGCTGATGCCCTGGAAGGCATATTGATGAGTTGAGCAGAGATTTGTGTTGCGCTGATGAGCGCTGGACTCAGGGAAACTTTGAAACACTTTGTAATCATATTTCTGATAATATAAGATGTGAGACTCGGTCCTCTTCTTCTCTACCTTTGTCTATTGCCAGACTACATTGTGTGTGGAAGATGATGCATGACATGTACACATCTGCGTGAGATGGTTCCCAGGACCCATGCAA